CGTCCTTTAACTTATCTAACTTGCTTTTAAATTTACTAATATTTTCCGTTTGTACTTCTTGTTTCCTTTCTTGTTCCAGTTGCCACTGTTGTAGTCTCTCTTCTTGTTTCTTTTCTTTTTCCTCTAACAACTGCTGTAATCTCTCTTCTTGTTTATTTTGCTGTTCGAGCTGCCACTGTTGCAGGTTTTCTTGCAACTGCTGTTGTCTCTCTTCGTGTTTCTTTTCTTTTTCCTCTAACAACTGTTGTAATTTCTCTTCTCGTTCTTCTTGTTTCTTTTCTTTTTCCTCTAACAACTGTTGTAATTTCTCTTCTCGTTTTTCTTGTTTATTTTCTCGTTCTTCTTGTTTATTTTCTCGTTTTTCTTGTTTCTTTTCTTTTTCCTCTAACAACTGTTGTAATTTCTCTTCCCGTTCTTCTTGTTTCTTTTGCTGTTCTTGTATTGCTGCCATTAAGTCTGCTAGGCTGTAGTTTGATTTACCGCTTCTCGTTTCCATTTTTTTATCCCACTCTCTGACACCAATTTGTTAGTTTCCGTTTGCTAATTAATTTTTCCGTAAATTCTTTCCAACTAAACTTTAGCGACACAAGTCCTTTCTTAAATAAAACTAGTTTATTCTTTCTGAATATAACTTTACGATGCACTTAATTTCAACATTCGCGCTAAAACAAATGCTATAACAACGCACGTTAACTTCAACAATACTCTCTGACTGCAGATCAATTACTCATTACCTACACAATGTCCCGTCACGTTGTCACCATCTTATATATACCAGACTATCCCAATCTAGTAATCTCAGGAAGGTTCGAGAAAGAAGTGGCGTGATACTAGTCACATGACCTCGCTGACGCAACAATATCTATGATAATATGTATATACAAATACATATATCAGATTTTCATTCAATTATATGTTTTCCTTAAAGTTAAGTAAGTATTATTTTGAAGAAGATTGACGTACTTTTTTTATATTAAGAACACAAATATTCTGGTATATCAATATATTTATGAATATTATAAACTGAACAGTTAGAGGGGCACTGTGTTACTGTTAGCACCCAGTAATACTAATACAAGTAACAGTGGCGTTCTACTATAAGTTGTACTTAAAACCCACTTCGAGCTGTTTGACCGGTAACGTAAATTCACAATTATTGAATTAGACCTTATGACATTTTATCGTAAACCTGTAACATACATCACAATGAAACACAAGAAGTTTTTATAAGATTGATCAAGTACTGTTTGCAAATTTATAGGAGTGTATTTACCAACCAAATGTCCTTTTTCAAATGCATGTATAAAACTAAAAGAATTGTTTATATTAATACATGAAAAATATACATAGTTTTCAAGAAAATGTTGCTTACTGTTTGGGTTTGAATGGATAATGTTGAGGTTTATTGAAAGAAGAAGTCACGAAAATTAATTGTAAGGTTCAAAGTGGTTAATGAAGTATAAAACTTTATCTTGAAAGTGTTTAGTTACACATGATATTTACAAAATGAAAATCTAGGATAATTGAGACTTCACAAGAAACATTAGCACAGTGGAAGGAAACATTGCTGGAATGATTGTTCTTACTTGTGTTTCTATTAATGAAAGAAAAAATTACTCTAAAGCTGATTAGTCTCCTTAGCAGTGGGAAGGTTCTTTCTGAAAATTTATTTCAGTTTAAAAAGAAAGTGGATTTAAAAAAGCTTGTAAAATTATTGAAAATAAAAACCCTAGTTCTTGTAGAATTTATCTTGAAAGTTGAGACCTTGAATAAACTAAATAAAAAGTTAATGGAAACTTTAACTTTTGCATTTCAAAAAACATGATGTAGGGGAAACTTCTGATTACTGAAAGAATTCCAATGTGACACCTATATGTATTTTTAAAAATAAAAGGTTAAGGGAGAACCCAGGACTCTGTTTAAGTTATAATCAAGGTGCTTAAATCTGCTGTCAGAAGTAATTTAGAATAACATTTGAAAAGTAACACAGTAGTATTCAATTAATGATTTTGAGTGTTGTTTCATAAAATTCTTTTTGACTTATTACCTTGACTAAATTTTTTTATAGGGCTTTCATCTTTTTGAATGAAAACATTCTAGTTGAGTAGGTGTATCATTAGTGTCAGAAAGTCTTGGATAAGTTACCTCACTAGAGATTAATCACTAAGTGTAAGTGGGATGCTTAAGAAATAGGTAGAAAAGTTCAAGAAGTGGATGGATAATTGGCTCACTGGTAGAAAATAAAGAGTTGCAATAAAAGTAAAGGCTAAATTTATAAAAGTTGTGTATGATCAGAACTACTCGGGTTTTTACTTGGCTGCCAGTAACCCGAAAGAGATTGATATTAGTGTGTTTTTGCATATATCTTGTGCTGATAACATTAAATGTTTTCATGTAATCATACTTTCTGATTTTAAGCTTATTAATTTCTTGTTTTATCGGAGTTTTTCAAACGCTATTTTATATCACTTTAACTCACAGATATCTATCTTATTTTGTTAACTGTAGGGATGGCCCCTGTCACTGGGATGTCATAGGTTTCAAATACTTTCTTAATCCCTTTTAACTTTAATAACAGCTTTCTTTACTTCTTTTTTATTTGATAAATTTTTGTATCCTACACTGTACCAGTAAAGTGCAAATTCTTTTAATTTTGGTATCCTGAATCAGTTTCTCAATTTCTTTATTCATCCACTTAGGGAAGGGCTTTTGGTTGTAAAATCTTTGTGTTCAGCTAATAAATATATTCTAAGTATTGTAAAGAGTTGAATTGAACTAGAACTTTGGAAACAAGTATTATCATTTTAAAGTTTTTTAGCAAAGCAAGTACCCCCTATTTTTGTGATGTAAAAAAAAATTATGCTTATATAGTTATAGCATAGCAGCTCAGGGTACTTAACATTTTCTACATAGTCAACATTCTTCTGATGAAGCATTAGCATTTTGTGGCTTTAAATAGTTGCATGCTTCCCTGTAAAATCAGCATGCTTTGTATGCTGATTGTGCTTAGCACAATATGTGTTGGCTTTTGATCTCACAAATTAGAACCTCCCTTTCAAACATTCTGCGTTTGGGTCTGAATGTGAGTAATAAAGTTCAAATGTATAGGTTGTTGATATTTTTATATAGATTAATAAAGTTAATAGTAGAGATGTGAATATCATAAATATAAACATCAGAAAGTATGTCCAGACAACACTTAATTTTAAGTAAATTGCTTATGCTGACAGTCAATAATGGCTTAAACATGATGAAATACATAAAAGCAAGTGATGGAAGTATATAAAAGAAGAATTGAAATAGTGATGTTTATCAAGGTCTTTCAGCTTATTAAGAGTTCTTTTATAGTCAATTGTATAAATTTTAGAAAATAATTGTCAATTTCTCAAATTATGTGCTAAATATTAGGGTTACTAATTCATTTTAGTTTTACTGATGGAGGAAAACTGTAAATGTGACTTATAATAAAAACTACATGTTCTAAGACTTTATTTCCATGTGCTCATTTGATTGTTTTTCATTTAATATGATTTCAGGTAATGATTCTTATTATTGTGTTGTTTTTTCTTTCAACAGGTGTTGCATACTGAAATGAAATTGTTTGTACTTCGGAGGGGACGACTTTTGAAAGTGAGCTTTATAGTCGTCACTTTCATATTGACCGTAGCTTTTTTCTTACCCAAACCAAAAAGTCAGGAAGAACAACAAAAAGAAAAAATAGTAAAAAAAGTAAGAGGTAGCCAAGTTATATGTGCGTATACAAATATCTAAACTACAGTAATTACCTTGATCCTCTTCTTGATTTTCTTCTGTTTCTGTTGATGATGCAGTTTTAAATCTTTAGAAATTCAACACTTACTAATGTTTTTATTTTACCTTTCCAAATAAAAATGATACTGACGTAAGGCAATAAACAGTTTTTCCACCATTTAATATATAAAATGCACAGATATTGTGTGATTTTTAGTGCTATGATGGTTACAGACTTCGGTATTTGAAAATGTGTTTTGTTTTTGAGAAATGTACAAAAGTATCCCTGAATATTTGAAGTCCACACACCCTATAATATTTTGTAAGTATTCATAATTTTGAGAGACTATCATTAGTGCCTACTATTGAGGAGTTTAAATATTCTAAAACACATTCCTCTTGTTGATATTTATCTCCTAGAAAATAGGTTTCATCATATTTACTTTCTAATATCTAGTATCTCAACTCAGTTTATGTAAATGTGGTATGGGTGTAATCATCCTTTAAACCCTTTCCAGACGGGTCATGGGTGAAAGGCCATGTCATCTCGTTGCGTGTTGACTCGCATTCAGAATTTTATTGAACTACTATTTCATTAACTTATGTCAGTAAGTTTAGTATCAAAGTGTAGATTATAATTCAAATTTTAGTACTATACATGACTCAATTTCTTAACTTAAAAGCAAATATTAAAACAACACAGATAAACATTGATTTTGGTGTGTCATGTGGTATGTTAAATACAGCACTGGTTCAAATTAGATGTTTGTGAAGTCAAAATATTAAGTCTGTAGTTTCGTATGAATTAGAAACTCAAATTACTGATATTGACAAGCTAGAATATAAAACAAGAGTCTCTCATATTTTCAGTTTGCTAAGATATTGCTCATGTATTAAATCAAACACAGTGGCACCCCACCCACTTCTTTCCATTTTTGGAAATGCTCCCATATATATATATATACAATTACTTCTATATATGACATGAATAAACAATCAAAAGCTTTCTCAGCCATTTTAACATGTTGGGAAAGTCCTGTATTAATTGCAAAACCCAACAAGTGCCATTTTTATTATTTTATTTTCAGTTGTGGATATTGTTTTATTAAATGATGTTTCATTCCATATATTCCTGAAGTACGAACCAAAGCAACGACCTGTATATAAGGAAGGAATTACTGGCAATTTTGATCTGCCTCTCTATAACACAGTACCAGAAGGACCTGGAGAAGGTGGGAAACCCCATGCTGCTAAAGGAGAAGACCAGAATGAAGTTGCTTCTGTAATGATGGAGTATGGAATTAATATGGTGGTTAGTGATCAAGTTGCCCTTGATCGATCCATACCGGATGTTCGGCATGAAGAGTCAGTAATGTTAACATGTGTACTATATTTGTAGTTTTATTTATCTGTATAGGAATGCATTTACTGTTTATGGCATAGAGATGTGCGAGACACATAACAGCAAAACCTCACAAAGGCATAAATGAAATGTATATTGAAGTATATAAATGTCCTTAATGTTATTTGGTGCATGTGAGTCAAGTATTTAACCTTACATATGTGTAGTATATCATAGTACTCACTTGGGATAAAAGTATGGGATATTTTTTTTCTGTCAGAACCTATGGTATTTAATAGTTAGTCATTGGTCATAACCTTATCATACCTTGAAATTTACAATCAGTACATTTATGGATATTCAAGGATGTTAATAATTTTTGAAAATAAAAACTAATAATTGCCAATAGTGAATGAGCAATTGAATAACACTTGAAAGTAAAAGAAATAAAGTTTTGTTTCATTAGCAGAGTAACTGTTATGGAATATCACTGTTGAAAAATACTGTAAACACTTGTGTATAGTGTGTAATTATTTCCAAAATCTATGGAATCAAATATGAAGTGTGCAATATATGAGAACAGTA